TTTTAATGCATGCAATGGAAAATGACGAACCAGTTACAGCGGTGCTTTTTACGATTCAGACTACCGGTAGCCGACGGCTACGTACGTCACGGGTGAGCGCTCTGACCGAGCTCAGGTAAAATTGACTGGTGCGAGCAGCTACACTGCCGATAAGATAAGCCTGTTGCGGACGAGAGCGTGGCCGGTCGGCAGACATGAGAGAACCCGACAGAACAAAAGATATTCGTAAACTAAACGATTTCTGCTAAAATTAAACGATTTGCCGCGAGAGGTCAACGCTCCACCAAAACGGAACACTGTTCCTTGAAACGCAAACACTGTTCCGTGAAAAGTTAACATGCAGTTATAAAACAAACACTCTGTTTTAAAAACAAACGATTATACTCAAAACTAAACACAAGTCTTCGAAGAATAAACGTCGGTTTAAACAATAAACGGTGACTCGTCAAATATAAACGATAATCCAAAAAATACACACAAAAAGAGAACAACTGAACGATTTTTGAAAATTAAACGAAAAAATGAAAAAAATACACGGTAAGGGTCCACCAGTGACTGCTGATAGGCCCATGTAAAGCCCACTTCTATATATTTATATATACTGCTGTTAGGCCCATGTAAAGCTCACTTCTATATATTTATATACACTGCTGTTAGGCCCATGTTCAGCCCACTTCTATATATTTGTATATACTGCTGATAGGCCCATGTTAAGCCCACTTCTATATATTTATATATACTGCTGATAGGCCCATGTAAAGCCCACTTCTATATATTCACATATACTGTTGATGGGCCCATGCTAAGCCCACAGATTTATTGAGGAGAAAAAAAATCTTAGCTTTGTGAAATATATATTACATGTGCTGTTTCCAGAACCACATAGCTATCCTGCTATTGATAGCCTTCGAGAGGATAGTGTTTTACCACCAGCAGCAGCACTACAACAGAGACAGCTTCGTTAAACCAGCCCGGGGCATCATCTTTCCTGAGATCAGACGACCTGATGCAGACAAGAACCTCATCGCATGTGCCAAGTTCTTGGCTAACTACTTCTTTTACAAGTTTGGTCTGGAGGTGGGTTTTGATATAATATTAATAATAATATAATAATTTGAGGTTCTTATATACCGCTTTATTACAACTTAGTTCGTAGGTCGTCTCAAAGCGGTTCACCAATTATTATCCATAGTTATAGGGCCTTTAAAACCAGCCAATATCTTTCTCAAACTCCCTGGGGAGCATACAGCCGGTGCTGCCATTTCAGCGCTCAATGCTAGAATTGCACAATTCTAGCACTGCCCATCCACGTACTCATTTATAGCTGAGTAGACTGGAACAAGCAGAGTAAATTATCTTGCTCAACGATACAACACAGTGCCGTGCCGTGCCGTGCCGTGCCGTGCTGTATAAAACTGACATCACTGTAAATTCATGTTGATGACAGAAATATTGGTCAGAATACAGTTACATATAGTATAGATCTATTATACAATTTTGTTATACAAATGTGTTTTCTTTGTGACTTACCAGGTTTGTTACGTGATGTTTGCTGTGACGATCAGTGTACGAGTAGACGCCTACAGTGTTTTGTACGCCATAATACTGGGCACGCTGCTGTTCCTTTCCCGACGACAGAACGCCACCATCTGGCCTCTGTTCACAGTCTTCATTGCCATCCTTCTGCCTCTACAGTATCTCCAACGCCTTGGGCTCCCGGCGGGGCTTTGTATAGGTAAGGCTAGTCACCCTATCATATTTAGGATCAAGGGGAGATCACTCATGGTCTTTGACATTACCTTTGACTGGTTTTTTCCTGTCAGTTGTATACAACTAATGAATTCGCCAGTCTTAAAGCATTGGCCATATAATGATGAAAGAATTTTTTATGTAATAAATATTTGAGAACTGATAAAGAGAATGTCAGTGACTTTTTCTGATTGGATTTTGCAATGATGGAGATTAAATGGAGTTTCACAATTCTGAACTGGTGTAGCACTGTCTGTGTTATAATCTGTGTAAACACTGTGTAAACTGATTATCTGAGCATCAAGAGAGTTTGGTGTATTAGACATGCTCAAGTATACACCTGTTAGGTTAAGGTTGTACCTAATGTAATGTCCCAGGTGGCCTATTTGCTATGTTACATACTTGTTACAGAATACCCCTGGCCGTGGGATGAGGATGAAGCCACAGAGAGCCTAGAACGCTGGTTGGTCCTACCAAACTACTTCATAACACAGTGGCCTGAGGCCCGCAAGTTAGTGGGTAAGTTTTGTAGCGGACAGATGATGTTAGATGTTTTGTTGTTGTTGTTTTAATGTACAAAATACGTCCATAAATCTGATCCTCCTCATCGTGCTCACATTGTACAGACCAGGAAACCATTAGAAGCTAAATTATCTAACAGACAGAGAACAATAAAATGTGGCTAGACCAGGATCCATTACCTCAATCTCTAAATGCTAGACTATCATCTTACCACGAACATATAGACATTCAGTATGTAGCTTATAAGACATAAGGCAAAATTAAATACCTAATTATTAAGGCATAAAGCTAAATTGAATAACCCACCATTTAGACATGTAGCAAAATTAAATATCAGGCTATATCAAAAGAGAATATGGTCATAATGTTGATGACGTTTTTGTTCCAGCTGACTTTTTCCTGTTGCTGTTCATGGCCCTGCAGTGGCAGGTGTTCCGGAGGGAATCCGGGCCGAACATGGCCACCTATGGAGGGGGAGACAACTACGACATCCTTCAGGAAGTGGAGGGCAACGTTCCTAATCCTGTAGAGGATTTCACCAGTGTTGTCAAGTAAGTCATACATCTTTACAGAAAAGTATGTCATACGTCGTCACAGTCAAGTATGTCATATGTCATTACAGTAAAGTATGTCATACATCTTTACAGAAAAGTATGTCATATGTCGTCACAGTCAAGTATGTCATATGTCATTACAGTAAAGTATGTCATACATCTTTACAGTAAAGTATGTCATACATCTTTACAGTAAAGTATGTCATACATCTTTAAAGTAAAGTATGTCATGTGTCCTCACAGTCAAGTATGTCATATGTCATTACAGTAAAGTATGTCATACATCTTTACAGTAAAGTATGTCATACATCTTTAAAGTAAAGTATGTCATACATCTTTACAGAAAAGTATGTCATATGTCGTCACAGTCAAGTATGTCATATGTCATTACAGTAAAGTATGTCATACATCTTTACAGTAAAGTATGTCATACATCTTTACAGTAAAGTATGTCATACATCTTTACAGTAGAGTATGTCATACATCTTTACAGTAAAGTATGTCATACATCGTTAAAGTAAAGTATGCCATGTGTCCTCACAGTCAAATATGTCATACATCGTTATAGTAAAGTATGTCATACGTCATCAGAGTCAAGTATGTCATACATCATTATAGTCAAGTATGTCATACGTTGTCACAGTCGAAGTATGTCAAAAGTCTTTTAAGTAAAATATGTCATATGTTTTAGTCATAATCTCATATGGAGTAGAACTTTGTTTAGATCCTTGTAAGTCCTCCACAAAAAACAAGGGTTTCATCCTCTATTCACACATCTTCTCTACATCCTTAAAATATATCATTACAAAATTGAAGTCACTGTATGCCACCTTGTGGACGGTACACGTAGACTGATTTGATCCTTTGATAAACAACTATGGAATCTTCCAGTAGACAGCGTAAACATTGACTGGCGTTGAAGTTGAGTCCTCTGCCATCGTCAAAGGATAGGTAACAACTACTGATTGGTCAGCTTTCTATACATGGAACCAATCAAATAGCTAATTGTGTACTTTTGATTTTGTTCCGACATATTCCTAGGGTGTAGAGAAAATATTTGTATGTGACAGGAGATCTTAAGTTTCCTAGATGTGTGTTAGGTGATGTATGTTATTCTGGTATAACCCTATTAACAACTGATATGTATATGTTTGTAAATCGTATCTGGACATAGCGAAGTGCGGTTTCGTTGTGTACATGTACTGATGACACTTTGTGTTTGTAGGTCATATCTGGACATAGCGAAGTGCGGTTTCTTTGTGTACATGCACTGATGACAATTTGTGTTTGTAGATCGTATCTGGACATAGCGAAGTGCGGTTTCTTTGTGTACATGTACTGATGACACTTTGTGTTTGTAGGTCATATCTGGACATAGCGAAGTGCGGTTTCTTTGTGTACATGCACTGATGACACTTTGTGTTTGTAGATCGTATCTGGACATAGCGAAGTGCGGTTTCTTTGTGTACATGTACTGATGACACTTTGTGTTTGTAGATCGTATCTGGACATAGCGAAGTGCGGTTTCTTTGTGTACATGTACTGATGACACTTTGTGTTTGTAGATCGTATCTGGACATAGCGAAGTGCGGTTTCTTTGTGTACATGTACTGATGACACTTTGTGTTTGTAGATCGTATCTGGACATAGCGAAGTGCGGTTTCTTTGTGTACATGTACTGATGACACTTTGTGTTTGTAGATCGTATCTGGACATAGCGAAGTGCGGTTTCTTTGTGTACATGTACTGATGACACTTTGTGTTTGTAGATCGTATCTGGACATAGCGAAGTGCGGTTTCTTTGTGTACATGTACTGATGACACTTTGTGTTTGTAGATCGTATCTGGACATAGCGAAGTGCGGTTTCTTTGTGTACATGTACTGATGACACTTTGTGTTTGTAGATCGTATCTGGACATAGCGAAGTGCGGTTTCTTTGTGTACATGTACTGATGACACTTTGTGTTTGTAGATCGTATCTGGACATAGCGAAGTGCGGTTTCTTTGTGTACATGTACTGATGACACTTTGTGTTTGTAGATCGTATCTGGACATAGCGAAGTGCGGTTTCTTTGTGTACATGTACTGATGACACTTTGTGTTTGTAGATCGTATCTGGACATAGCGAAGTGCGGTTTCTTTGTGTACATGTACTGATGACACTTTGTGTTTGTAGATCGTATCTGGACATAGTGAAGTGCGGTTTCTTTGTGTACATGTACTGATGACACTTTGTGTTTGTAGATCGTATCTGGACATAGCGAAGTGCGGTTTCTTTGTGTACATGTACTGATGACACTTTGTGTTTGTAGATCGTATCTGGACATAGCGAAGTGCGGTTTCTTTGTGTACATGTACTGATGACACTTTGTGTTTGTAGATCGTATCTGGACATAGCGAAGTGCGGTTTCTTTGTGTACATGTACTGATGACACTTTGTGTTTGTAGATCGTATCTGGACATAGCGAAGTGCGGTTTCTTTGTGTACATGTACTGATGACACTTTGTGTTTGTAGATCGTATCTGGACATAGTGAAGTGCGGTTTCTTTGTGTACATGTACTGATGACAATTTGTGTTTGTAGATCATATCTGGACATAGTGAAGTGCGGTTTCTTTGTGTACATGAACTGATGACACTTTGTGTTTGTAGGTCGTATCTGGACATAGTGAAGTGCGGCTTCTTTGTGTACATGTACTGATGATAATTTGTGTTTGTAGATCATATCTGGACATAGTGAAGTGCGGCTTCTTTGTGTACATGAACTGATGACCCTTTGTGTTTGTAGGTCGTATCTGGACATAGTGAAGTGCGGCTTCTTTGTGTACATGTACTGATGACACTTTGAGTTTGTAGATAGTATCTGGACATAGCAAAGAGCGGTTTCTTTGTGTACATGTACTGGGCCACCATGTTCATCGTGTTCCTGGCAGGCGTGACTCGTATCAACATCTTCAGCATGGGCTATGTGATCTCAGTCTTCTGTTTCATGTGGTATGGACAGGAGTTCCTCCTTAAGCCTCTCAGCAAGATCAGGAAAAGGTTTGTGTACAATTTTCTCCTGAAGTCCTCGGCAAGATCAGGAAAATGCGTGTTTCTGTTTTCCTCCTCAAGTATCCTTTAAGATCAATAGAAGCTACCCTTATATGTTGGTTCACGTCCTATTGAGGCTTATCCACAAGTATATGTATAATATATGGTGATCAGTGTAGGTTCAATAATGGTGATCAGTATGCTTTCATTCCATATGGTGCTCACTGTACATGGTTATTGTAAAGTTTGGCTACTGTTAGAGGTGTGAATGGTTTACATTGACACATTATAATGATGACAACATTTTGTCAATATGTGTGGATGGAAAAAGTTTTTCAACAACAAAGAATTTGTATAATGTAGTTTTTGAAATAGGAAGGACATTTATTGTGGAGGATATTGAAGGCATGATTGATTTTCTTATTTTTCAGTTGGAATTTGCTGATTGGTTACAACTTTGCTGTACTGTTCCTGAAAGCGTCACTGCAGGTAAGAACTTTGGCTTAATACATCACACTTTGTACTGTAGTACACAGGCATTGAACGGCTGAAATGAATTTATTTTATGATGAGCATTCTGATATATGTGTCCTCATTGTAAGAAAAGATGTATTTCACTATAATTACTTATATTATCATAAGGAAAGGTAAAAAAGAAAACGTAGTGAACCAGCATTCTTACAGAGTGAGTGAGCAAACATTCTTACAGAGTGAGTGGGCCAACATTCTTACAGAGTGAGTGAATCAACATTCTTACAGAGTGAGTGAGCCAACATTCTTACAGAGTGAGTGAGCCAACATTCTTACAGAGTGAGTGAACCAACATTCTTACAGAGTGAGTGTGCTAACATTCTTACAGAGTGAGTAAACCAACATTCTTACAGAGTGAGTGTGCCAACATTCTTACATAGTGAGTGAGCCAACATTCTTACAGAGGGAGTGAGCCAACATTCTTACAGAGTGAATGAGCCAACATTCTTACAGAGTGAGGGAGCCAACATTCTAACAGAGTGAATGAGCCAACATTCTTACAGAGTGAGTGAGCCAGCATTCTTACATAGTGAGTGAGCCAACATTCTTACAGAGTGAGTGAACCAACATTCTTACAGAGTGAGTGTGCTAACATTCTTACAGAGTGAGTAAACCAACATTCTTACAGAGTGAGTGTGCCAACATTCTTACAGAGTGAGTGAGCCAACATTCTTACAGAGTGAGTGAGCCAACATTCTTACAGAGTGAGTGAGCCAACATTCTTACAGAGTGAGTGAGCCAACATTCTTACAGAGTGAGTGAGCCAACATTCTTACAGAGTGAGTGAGCCAACATTCTTACAGAGTGAGTGAGCCAACATTCTTACAGAGTGAGTGAGCCAACATTCTTACAGAGTGAGTGAGCCAACATTCTTACAGAGTGAGTGAGCCAACATTCTTACAGAGTGAGTGAGCCAACATTCTTACAGAGTGAGTGAGCCAACATTCTTACAGAGTGAGTGAGCCAACATTCTTACAGAGTGAGTGAGCCAACATTCTTACAGAGTGAGTGAGCCAACATTCTTACAGAGTGAGTGAGCCAACATTCTTACAGAGTGAGTGAGCCAACATTCTTACAGAGTGAGTGAGCCAACATTCTTACAGAGTGAGTGAGCCAACATTCTTACAGAGTGAGTGAGCCAACATTCTTACAGAGTGAGTGAGCCAACATTCTTACAGAGTGAGTGAGCCAACTTTCTTACAGAGTGAGTGAGCCAACATTCTTACAGAGTGAATGAGCCAACAAACTTACAGAGTGAGTGAGCCAGCATTCTTACATAGTGAGTGTGCCAACATTCTTGCATAGTGAGTGAGCCAACATTCTTACAGAGTGAGTGAGCCAACATTCTTACAGAGTGAGTGTGCCAACATTCTTACAGAATACAGTGAAACCTGTACTTAGGGACCAACCATCCTCAGAACATCTGCAGGCTCTTCAAAATTCCCATAAATTGGTCACTTAATACGACTTCAAATCACAATAACATCAATCACTTTGACAAACAACTTATTTACAGTTGTGAGCAAACTGAACTTGGTATCTAATGCACTTTGTAGTGCACACGTAGTGAACAAGGAAGTGCACTAGACAAACAATTGAAATGCACCTCACTTCAGTGTTAACCCAAGTTCACTTCAGTGTTTACTCCAGTTCACTTCAGTGTTAACTCCAGTTCACTTCAGTGTTTACTCCAGTTCACTTCAGTGTTAACTCCAGTTCACTTCAGTGTTTACTCCAGTTCACTTCATGATATGAAAATTAAAATAATAAAGGAAAAATCATCTTACTGAATTATTTCAATATCGATATACATATTTTTCCAGATTACTGAAAATTTCAACATATATACACGATAAAGAGAAATCGTACACTCTCTCTGGTGATTATAGAAAATCCATAGATATCTGTATTATTATAAAGGATTTGGAGTAGTTGGTTATGAAGCATCTCTTTGGAAAATGGTTTAATTTTCTTTATATAAATAAAGGGCTTGCCCAACGTGTAGGGGCTATGGGAGTATGTCCTTATACAGATAGGAATGATATTCAGGTCTATATTCCTCTTGCTTCCATTAATCCTGATTACACAACGGAAATTCTAAAAGTATTGATTAACAGGATTATATATGTGTTACAAATTCCTACGAACGGTTGACTGTTACAGCTGCTGGGCTGTGTCTACATCAACAAGCTTTACGATGGTCAGTGGTGTTGGCTCGTACAACTTCTCGGTCTCACCTGTCTCACCTCACCTGATATATCCTCCGCCAATAAGTGGAGCAAAGGTAAGATCACAGGTCAAACATATCAGTTACAGGTCAAACATAACAGTTACAGGTCAAACATAACAGATACAGGTCAAACATAACAGTTACATGTCAAACATAACAGTTACAGATCAAACATAACAGTTACAGATCAAACATAACAGTTACAGGTCAAACATAACAGTTCCAGGTCAAACATAACAGTTACAGGTCAAACATAAGAGATACAGGTCAAACATAACAGTTACAGGTCAAGCATAACAGATACAGGTCAAACATAACAGTTACATGTCAAACATAACAGTTACAGATCAAACATAACAGTTACAGGGCAAACATAACAGTTACAGGTCAAACATAACAGTTACAGGTCAAACATAACAGATACAGGTCAAACATAACAGTTACAGATCAAAAATAACAGTTACAGATCAAACATAACAGATACAGGTCAAACATAACAGTTACAGGTCAAGCATAACAGATACAGGTCAAACATAACAGTTACAGGTCAAGCATAACAGATACAGGTCAAACATAACAGTTACAGATCAAAAATAACAGTTACAGGTCAAACATAACAGTTACAGATCAAACAGAACAGATACAGGTCAAACATAACAGTTACAGGTCAAGCATAACAGATACAGGTCAAACATAACAGTTACATGTCAAACATAACAGTTACAGATCAAACATAACAGTTACAGATCAAACATAACAGTTACAGATCAAACATAACAGTTACAGATCAAACATAACAGTTACAGGGCAAACATAACAGTTACAGGTCAAACATAACAGTTCCAGGTCAAACATAACAGTTACAGGTCAAACATAACAGTTACAGATCAAACATAACAGATACAGGTCAAACATAACAGTTACATGTCAAACATAACAGTTACAGATCAAACATAACAGATACAGGACAAACATAACAGTTACAGGTCAAACATAACAGATACAGGTCAAACATAACAGTTACAGGTCAAACATAAGAGATACAGGTCAAACATAACAGTTACAGGTCAAGCATAACAGATACAGGTCAAACATAACAGTTACAGGTCAAGCATAACAGATACAGGTCAAACATAACAGTTACATGTCAAACATAACAGTTACAGATCAAACATAACAGTTACAGATCAAACATAACAGATACAGGACAAACATAACAGTTACAGGTCAAACATAACAGTTAGAGATCAAACATAACAGTTACAGGTCAAACATAACAGGTCAAACATAACAGTTACAGGTCAAACATAACAGATACAGGGAAAGCCAACCTTCTAGTGGTTGTGATCTATAGGTATTGTATGGACTCAATCTGATTACTTCCTCTTTTTCCATTGCTTGCTTGGAAAAAGTGGTAAGCATATGAAAACTGCATGATTTGATCTGTTAAGTGGAACATTTCAAAGAAATGAGGCAAATGTGAATAAAAAAATGTATTATATGTTTATCTAAATATTAAAAATTCTCTCTTACGTCAAAATGATAATTAAAATAAAGGTATTAAAGAAACCTGATTGTCTTTTGATAATATGGTTGTTCTGAAACATTGAACATTTTAAGTATGATCGATATGCAAACAAAATTAACATGTGGGAAATTATATGTTTGAAGAAAATCTAAACTGAGTTGAATTTCTGCCGAGTTCTACCGAAATCTTACTGCCAGTAGCTGTGATCTTTGTTTATGGGGAAGGCTAACGAGGTTCAGTACGTGTATTTTACTGTATTGATGTTTGGTAGATTGCAGTGTGGAGGAGGATGATACGGGTCTGATGTGGGACGTCGTCTGTTTTACCTTCCTACTGCTGCAGCTACGAATCTACAACAGTCACTACTTCAGACATGTTGTATCCAGCTCAGAGGCCCAGAACAGACTAGCGTCAAGGTAAGATACTGTCTCAGACATGTTGTATACAGCTCAGAGGCCCAGAACAGACTAGCATCAAGGTAAGATACTGTCTCAGACATGTTGTATACAGCTCAGAGGCCCAGAACAGACTAGCGTCAAGGTAAGATACTGTCTCAGACATGTTGTATACAGCTCAGAGGCCCAGAACAGACTAGCGTCAAGGTAAGATACTGTCTCAGACATGTTGTATACAGCTCAGAGGCCCAGAACAGACTAGCGTCAAGGTAAGATACTGTCTCAGACATGTTGTATACAGCTCAGAGGCCCAGAACAGACTAGCGTCAAGGTAAGATACTGTCTCAGACATGTTGTATACAGCTCAGAGGCCCAGAACAGACTAGCGTCAAGGTAAGATACTGTCTCAGACATGTTGTATACAGCTCAGAGGCCCAGAACAGACTAGCGTCAAGGTAAGATACTGTCTCAGACATGTTGTATACAGCTCAGAGGCCCAGAACAGACTAGCGTCAAGGTAAGATACTGTCTCAGACATGTTGTATACAGCTCAGAGGCCCAGAACAGACTAGCGTCAAGGTAAGATACTGTCTCAGACATGTTGTATACAGCTCAGAGGCCCAGAACAGACTAGCGTCAAGGTAAGATACTGTCTCAGACATGTTGTATACAGCTCAGAGGCCCAGAACAGACTAGCGTCAAGGTAAGATACTGTCTCAGACATGTTGTATACAGCTCAGAGGCCCAGAACAGACTAGCGTCAAGGTAAGATACTGTCTCAGACATGTTGTATACAGCTCAGAGGCCCAGAACAGACTAGCATCAAGGTAAGATACTGTCTCAGACATGTTGTATACAGCTCAGAGGCCCAGAATAGACTAGCGTCAAGGTAAGATACTGTCTCAGACATGTTGTATCCCGATCAGAGGCCCAGAACAGACTACCATCAAGGTAAGATACTGTCTCAGACATGTTGTATACAGCTCAGAGGCCCAGAATAGACTTGCATCATTTTAAGGATTTTTTACAATAATTTAACTAAATTTTGATGAATTTCAGTCAAATTTATGTGTGCTTCTATAATTGCAATGCTCAGACATCAGAGAGGAATAGAATGTGTTAATGTTTGGAGCATTACTTAGGTTGTTTACTGTTACAGAGGTGCCGAGCTCATCAACATCATCCTGGTACAGTACGTGAAACAACAGAAGGAAGATGAACAGAGCGTATTGCTGGGAATCAAAATGAAGATGGAGAGTCTGAAGGAGAAGCAGAAGGCCAAGGTCAGGAAGGACTACGTGGAGACGGAGGAACATTTCCAAGGTAAGGTCAGGAAAGACTACGTGGAGACGGAGGAACATTTCCAAGGTAAATAGTGCTAGGCCAAGGTCAGGAAGGACTACGTGGAGACTGAGGAGCATTTCCAAAGTAAATAGTGCTAGGCCAAGGTCAGGAAAGACTACGTGGAGACGGAGGAACATTTCCAAGGTAAATGGTGCTAGGCCAAGGTCAGGAAGGACTACATGGAGACGGAGGAACATTTCCAAGGTAAATAGTGCTAGGCCAAGGTCAGGAAGGACAATGTCATTAAACATCTCAATCAGCCAAGGTAATACCTAAGTGCTACATGTCTAAGGCAAGTTCATGTTCAGTGTCACTGAGAGTAAGTTTGATTATTGTATTAAATCTTCACTAAAGCAATTTATTTTTTAAAGTATGACCTTGAAACTTTAAACAAAAAAGGACTGACTTACTTTGTCAAATAAGTCAAAAATTTCAAACCACTTCTTCTGAAAAATGGAAAGGCCTAGAGTCAATAATATTTGGCTAGTAGCTTTGATTAATGATCCAGTGTAAGTTCTTCGAAAATTAATCTTGACATATTTTCAAGTTCACGTGGGTCAAGTATGTCACAATATAGGCCTAGAGTCATATATGAGGTTACACGTAGTATCTCCATCAAACACTGAATTCTTCAAAAATTCTTTCAACTATATCAGTGTTGTGTCATGGAATAATCTTCCAAACCAAATTAAGAATGATATAACAGTCTTCACGTTTAAAAAAAATCTCAAGAGTCACCTATTGTCTCTTTACTTAAATGGATAAATGAACATTATCAATTTCATGATAATAAAAAGTTTGGTATTGAAATTCCACAGGACACTGTCAAAACCTCTAATGTAAGGTTCCACATCTGCTGTTAGTATATGCAAGATATTGTTGGACAAACGTTACCATAGACATATCATTACAACACATCTAATTCTAGTCAGTTTACAGTAATCTCATTAATTGATTGTGTTTGTAGTTTGTAGTTATATCATATCATTGTTTTATGTAATCTCTTTATGCATTCATGTACTGTATGTGTTTGAGGGCCGCATGGAAGATTAGTCTTGTACTAAATGTGTAACCCTCTTTAAATGAAGTTATTATTATTAATGAAAATGGCTTTGACCTACTTTTCAGGTCACAGGGATAAAATATGTTAAAGTTTTTGAACTTTTCATCCAAAGAATCAAAGGTCTTAGGGTTGTGATATTTGGCTAGAAGCTTACTGGGATCAGCCTGTTAAAGTCTGCGAAATAAAGAATCAAAGGTCTTAGGGTTGTGATATTTGGGGAGAAGCTCCTTGGATCAGCCTGTTAAAGTCTGCAAAACAAAGAATCAAAGGTCTTAGGGTTGTGATATTTGGGGAGAAGCTCCTTGGATCAGCCTGTTAAAGTTTGCGAAATAAAGAATCAAAGGTCTTAGGGTTGTGATATTTGGCGAGAAGCTTCCTGGTATCAGCCTGTTAAAGTCTGCAAAACAAAGAATCTTGAGCTGCTATTAAGGTCACAGAGGTCAAATGTTTTAAACCTTTCAGCGACTTCTTTTGAATAACATAGAGACCTTTAGTGATAGTTTGAGCAGTAGCCTGCTGGGATGAAGGGCTATCAAATGTGTTCAAGTAAAGTACTTTGATTCGGCCTGTAGCATGCTTGATTAGATGTCTATCAAGTTTGTTTCTCCATTGAATGACCTTGACAAATCGTAATTCATTGCGAGACTGTTAGATGCAAACTTTTGTTAGTTTGTAATTTAATATGTGGTTTGATAACAATGTGTAGCTTTATTTTTGATGAATGTTGTGTGTTATTTATAGCATTCAGGTGACCTGTTAATTGTTTTGATACGGTTAGGTGTTAACTGATTTATTTGTAGCGACACGCCTGGGTGACTTTTGTTTGTCATTTGTAGCGATACGGTCTGGCGACTATTACCTTTTTGATGAGGATGTGGAGAAGGAAGATAAAGGCAAGGTGGATAGCCTAACATTTGGGGAAGGGAAACCAGAGGATGAGGACGGTAGACTCAGCCCCACCGCGCTCATCAGTACCGCCATCACGTCAGGACCAGGCGCAGCAGTAGAAATGGCAGACATAGTCGATGAGAAGGTAGTTAATGTTACTATGTACAAATACTCTTGTTTTACAAGGTTTTATGACATTCATGTTAGTGAAACTAATTCTAACACAGTTCCATTTAGATATGTTCAAAAATATTTCACCTTAAATTATTAACTCTGAAAGGTTTTCAATTACTTGTTAATGGGCAGTGTATAGTTAATTATCTCTTTTTTACAATGGCAGGATCAAATTGGCTTTTTTAGGGATGTAAAGAAGTGAACCCTAATTAATGAAATTTAATTTCTGGCTCTACACAACAGTAAAATAATATTATTTTACATTACTTTATGTTGGGTTTTTTTCCAAAAAAATAAAATAACAATGTTGTCATCTGAATAACTGGCATCCTTTACTTTTGCCATGATGGAGTATCATCACATTGTATACATGTTAGTGATTGAAGTGTTAACTTCCGCAGGAGGCAGGGCAGAAGGAAAAGAAAGAAAAGGACAAGGACAGTCAACTGTCAGACGACGAATCAGACAAAGGTTTGATATTCTATTTCTAAGATTGATTGGCGAGTAACTTTTAGCCACATTGGAATCTTGATGCTGGACCTTTGTCAGTCTTAAACATTAGATGTTGCTGGAATCTTGGCGTGCTGGCTTCACAGGACCAATAAAGTAAAAACCTGTATTTAGTGACCATTTTCAGGAAACCCATAGAGTGATCTCTTACTGCAGGTGGTCCTTTAGTACAGGTCCAGTTAAAAAAGAAACAGCAATGGAAAATTTCAACAGTGGTCTCTTAACACAATGGTCTCTTAACACAGTGGTCTCCTAACACAGTGGTCTCTTAACACAGTTGGTCTCTTGATAGAGGTAGTTTGGAGCGGGTGTTATGATATTTAAATTTTTTAAAAAACCTATTGTTTTTAGGTCACCTGAGCTTTTAGCTCAAGTGACCTTTTGCTATCCGTCTTCGTCCGTCGTCGTGCGTCGTCCGTTAACATTTTACATTTTCAACTTAAGCTGAAATACTGGCGAAGGGATTTCATTAATATTTCATGGGAAGGTTACTGACATCTCCCTGACCAGGTGTTATTATTTTTCGGGCTGATCAGAAATCCAATATGGCCGCCACGGCCGCCATTTTGAAAAACTATTTCAAACATAAGGCAAGTTCTGCTGGGTAAATTGAACTGAAACTTGGTAGGAATGATCGACTCATGGTCCTGACAAAGTGTTGTTATTTTTCGGGTCATTCAGAAATCCAATATGGCCGCCACAGCCGCCATTTTGAAAAACTATTTCAAACTTAAAGTCAAGTTCTGGTAGGCCGATTGAACTGAAACTTTGTAGGAATGATTGACTCATGGTCCTGACAAAGTTTTTTTTTTTCTATCAAATATGGCCGCCAAAGCCGCCATTTTGAAAACTATTTCAAACTTAAAGTCAAGTTCTGCTAGGCCGATTGAACTGAAACTTGGTAGGAATGATCGACTCATGATCCTGACAAAGTGTTGTTATTTTTCGGGACTATCAGATATCCAATATGGCCACCACGGCCGCCATTTTGAAAATACCTATTTCAAAGTTCTAATAGGCCGATCTAACTGAAAATTTGTCTAGGAATGATCAGCTCATGGTCCTGACAAACCTTAGTTAACGTTATACTTAAGAATGTTTTGCTCAAATTGGTACATATTTCAACAACAAAAAATAAATACTACATGGAGGACTCAGGTGACCGTTAAGGCCCATGGGCCTCTTGTTAGAAATAATAGTTTGTAATTTCGTTTTCTTGATTTTTTCATGTCATATTAGTGTGTTTATGCAAGAATAAGATAAACTGTTTGGATAGATTCTATCTGGCAGTAAACTCTGTTCGCTGAATATTATTATTTTTTTTACTAAATACAAACATTTACATGATGTGTATTCCAGAAACGTACGTTCAGAAGTCGTGGACCTTTTTGAGGTTTATGGCTCGCCTACTTGAAAGCTTTGCTGATTGGCTGATTGAGATGTTTAATGACATATCCAAGAATTACCGCATGGTGGCTTCTACGCTGGAGGAGGAAATGAAAGAGGAAAAGAAAAAAATACATGTAGGTTGTTAAGTACAGTAACACCCAGTAAAAAGCCCTAATCCTAACCCTAATTAACATCATATATACAATATAGCTTGCACATATGTGCTGAAAATAACCAATTTTTCTGAGAGATTACTTACTGTATCAATTGATAAGGAGGCTCGTTTACAAAGTTGAATAGTTTGCCAACACTAATTCCTTAGATAATCACTGCTAATATTGTACAATCCCATCCCCTCAATCAGGAATACAAGTATTCGCAAAGTTAACATGTTTCTGTATCCCCAGGCGGAGAGATGTCAGGTAACCTCCATGCAGGAACATCGTGTAGACCTGGACATTTCGGGTGACGAAGCCGATGCCGCGGACGGACAGCCTTCGTAAGCCAAACCCTCATATATACAATGTCATATTAAACCGTGTCCAGAGCTGGCTAGTCCAATGTTGTTCATACTAGCCCCCTTTTCATATGCAGATGTATTGAGAAATTGAGTTCAATGTATTACCCAATGCTGATCTTTATTACCAGGTATACTCTCACTATTTCTCTAAATGAACTGGACAGATCCTTTTTCTATTGTTCATTTTGAGTCCTAGTTTTGCAATACCCCTTTGGTGCATGGTCAAGGTCACTGATGTCAACAGATCAAAGGTCAAGGTCAGAGATGCCAACTTCTATATTCTTGCAACACGAATAGTTAAATTATGAGGCCATCTGTTAGGATTTTCAGCAAGTGCTTAATGGTATAAGGTCAAAGTCATTTAGTTTAAGGTCATTGTCATTTTTATAAACATTGCGTAAAATCACAAAGTAATATTGTGGGGATTGATGTCAAATAACTCAAAGGTGGTAAGGTCAAAGTCATATGATGAAAGGTCAAGGTCATTAAGGTCAAATATAATATCTTAATGGTAAACATCATATAATGACTTAATGAAGTAATATTTAGAGGTTATGTTATGGTGTGTATTTCCCTTGATGTAAGGTCAAGGTCAAATAGTTGAATGTAATTTGATCCTCATGATAAATATTGTCAAAAAGGTTATGCTTGATGCAATGTCAAGGTCACTGGTTAAGGTCACTGATCAAGGTCACTGGTTAAGGTCACAAATGTCAAATACATCCACACATTTCTTAATGGAAAACAGTTCATAATATCATAAAGAAATAGTGTTGAGAGTCATGCCAAATGGCCTGTTGGTGTTTGGGCAAGTTGTCATGGTCAAAGGTCAAGGTCAGAAAGGAAAGACTTATCACCTTCTTAATGAGAAACTGTGTGTAACACCATTATGAGGCGTTATTGTGGGGATTGACGCCAAGACCCCGTTGATGCAGGTTAAAAGTCTAGGTCTTGGAGATACATTCCTCATTCCTGCCCAGTAAAACATTTGATAATTACAAAATTGATGTCACTAAGACAAATCCCTGGATATCATACTAGGCAAAGGATCCTTCTTCTGTGGTATATTTATATAAGCTCTTTTGCTGGGCACCAATATCTTACCTGGATCTGTTTTATTTTATATGCATATTTAAATGGAATGTGTAGGATTTCAGTCACTATTAGGTCCCATCAGCCTCGTCTTTACTAATACTGTAAAAAAATGTAACAAAGCTGAGGGGTTGATGAAATGCAATAAATTATCTTGCTTTTACCAGAAGTCATTTCAAAGCTTGGCATTCACACTTTTTATTCAGGAACAAACTCTAATATGCATGAGTTGGTAATAAGCATGACCTTGTAACTGTGTTTGTACTAACAATGTTGGACTGTCCTCAGTTTACCTGTAATAAGTGTGGAAGACACTATAGTCACCCAATGGATTTCAGTAGACCTATCGTCTGTATCTTAGATATCACTCTACGCCATATCCTTGGTATAGTTCTCAAAGATAAAGCCAACCATGATCAGAGTGTAAACATATATGCAAAATGCAAACAACTTTTTTTTTAAATTTGATAAAATTTTATATTTGGTAATTAGGACACCGACCCATTCAAAGTCTTGATAATGAATTCCTTTTATCACGATAAACATCTCAATATTGTCAGTTTGTACCTAAATGTATGGTATTTAAAGTAAGTTTTTTTTAATGTACTAGAACTAGAACGTCAATGAATATGGCATTAAAAAACAGTTCATTGAAATCATCAAGTGTTATTGGGATAACTTAAGTTCTGACGATATAGAGGAATGATTGGTGTAGATTATACACTGAAGGTCTACCTTGAGACTGTTCAAGGCCCAGGTGACTATTTTGTGTAACAGTTTGTCTCGTTAGAACGTTTGTTACCTGCATGTGTGAGAAAACCTTGGTTTGTGTTGTGTTTATTCTGTTGTAAGCCAGTCACCACACAACATTTATTTTTATTTTTTGAAAATGTCAAATTGTGCCGTGTTGAAATTTAAGATTTCCTCAGTACTACAGAGAAACCTGAATGTCATTGAACAGTAAAATTAAACCTCGTTATAACCTCCCTCCTTATAACGTCCCTCTTTATAACGTCCCTCATTTACCACCTCATTCACTGCCACATATTCAAGGTTCCGATTTCCTTTTTCACAGCATAATTTCCTTTCCAATTTCACAATAGTGACCTATGAAGAAGCTTAATTCTATATTGATACTTATTTTAAAATATTAACTTTTGTGTTAAATGAGAAAATTGTGAAAATAACTTTGATGCTGCCCTAAGTATATAAAGTCTATAAAAAGTACTCAGTTTTCTATTGATTCTGGTGTTAGTTTTATTAATTTTGGAGAGTGGTATTTAGTTGTAAGATGTGTTGTGATTGGCTGGAAATGTCGTCCAATCCTGGCTGTTGTCACATGTACTGTTTAACTACTATATTGCCTTCCAGTTCCGATGTGACAGAGTTAGTAGAAATAACAACGGAGACAGGTCTAAAGCTGCCATTGTCAGGGTAGGAATGTTCAACACACAATATACATCAGCACTACCAAAGGAAATACAAATTGGGCAACAGGCAAAGCCTATAATAACCCTCTCCTTAAAGGACTCGCACGACTAAATCATTTACTATATGTTATTACTAAGCTTTTGAGCTAATAGCTTTAAATATTTGAAGTTCAACACTAGTGACAACTGTCTAGATTCATAGAAACATACCTGACAAAGGCTTCAAAAGACATTTTTTTGCAAGTTTAGTGGCGAGTTTGGTGGCAAGTTTAGTGGCTAGGGGTTTAGTGGCGAGGGGTTTAGTGGCGGGTTTAGTGGCGGTTTAGTGGCGAGTTTAGTGGCAGGTTTAGTGGCTGGTTTAGTGGCTGGTTTAGTGGCGAGTTTAGTGGCTGGTTTAGTGGTGGCAGGTTTAGTGGCGGGTTTAGTGGTGGCAGGTTTAGTGGCAGGTTTAGTGGCGGGTTTAGTGGCGAGTTTAGTGGCTGGTTTAGTGGCGGGTTTAGTGGCAGATTTAGTGGCAGGTTTAGTGGCGAGTTTATTGGCAAGTTTAGTGACATATAGGAGCGCTACAGGCTTCTGCTTCTGACAACCGGAAGTTTACAAGCCTAACCGGTGAAGTGGGACGGGAACACCCCTGACATTTGACCCAATATAAATCTGCCGTCACATATTCAAATCAACGAAAACTATTAATTTTTTCAAATTTAAACATCTGAAGATTTTCTTCAATAAAAAATATGTCAATATTTACACTTTTAAATCACTTGTAGGCACTGTATTTAACCGGAACAAATTTTAGGTAGGGATTACAATCATATGAAACACTTGCTGATTTAGTTGTGCGAGTCCTTAAAACGTACACAGTGCAAACAAATGGCAGCTCGTAATTGTTTTTGTTTTTGTTGTACTAATTATTATAACAATTTGTAATCTGATCAAGGTAATTGATGATAAACTGTAAAAGTTTATGTTTTTATAGTTTCTTATTTCTGCACTTATATGCTAAAAAAGTCACTTCGGTGGGATTTATTTTATTGCGGAACTCAAATCTAGTGCTAATGGCACAACGTGCTACTAAACGGATAAATTAATTCACAATGTTCTACTAATTTCACAGGTTGTCTATGTTTGGGAAAAATTGTCTCTGTGAAAATTGTGAAATTCATAACCCTGTGAATAAACAAACCTTTACAGTAAATATATTTAGTTGATCAGAGAAATAGATAAGTTGATCAGAGAAATAGATTAGTTGATCAGAGAAATAGATTAGTTGATCAGAGAAATAGATTTAGTTGATCAGAGAAATAGATTAGATGATCAGAGAAATAGATTAGTTGATCAGAGAAATAGATTAGTTGATCAGAGAAATAGATTTAGCTGATCAGAGAAATAGATTTAGTTGATGGGAGAAATAGATTTAGTTGATCAGAGAAATAGATTTAGCTGATCAGAGAAATAGATTAGTTGATCAGAGAAATAGATAAGTTGATCAGAGAAATAGATTTAGTTGATCAGAGAAATAGATTTAGTTGATCAGAGAAATAGATTAGTTGATCAGAGAAATAGATTTAGTTGATCAGAGAAATAGATAAGTTGATCAGAGAAATAGATTTAGTTGATCAGAGAAATAGATTAGTTGATCAGAGAAATAGATTAGTTGATCAGAGAAATAGATTAGTTGATCAGATAAATAGATTTAGTTGATCAGAGAAATAGATTAGATGATCAGAGAAATAGGTTAGATGATCAGAGAATTAGATTTAGTTGATCAGAGAAATACATTTAGTTGATCAAAGAAATAGATTAGTTGCTTATTGTCAGTGTTAGTAAATAAATTGTATCTTTAATTGTGTTCGTTCCTGTTTTACTTACTATCGTAATAATGTGTATAGTCTGAATAAGATAAGTTGATTTAATGATCAGATAAATAGATTTATTTGTTAGATAAGTTGATTAGCATAATTAATACATTAATTGCTAGTCTTCAGTGTGGCTTATTCCTGTACGTGGTGCCTAATGTTCCCTGGTATCTGATACCAATTCTACCTCCCTGCTGAAGTGTTCCTACATTATAACACTAACTGATGATGGGGAAGTAAAGTCTGTACTTGATTACTTTGTTTAGTGACGATGGAAGCGATGGTTTGACCGCCAAGAAAAGTAAGTTTGAGAGCAGCAAGCCGAAGATTTTCTTGTTACTGGAGGCGTGTTACTACCTCATTATTTCCCGCTCCGAGATGGTGTGTTACTTTCTGATGATCCTGAACCAGATCCTCAATGCCAGCCTGCTGTCCCTGCCCCTCCCACTGATGGTGTTCCTGTGGGGCATGCTGTCGGTGCCACGCCCCTCAAAGACATTCTGGGTCACTGTCATCACCTATACAGAGGTGGGTCAACTAACCTCACGCGGCAAACAACAGAATCTCCTTCCAAACTGATTATTCACTCAATTGTAATGTATCAGAATGCAGAGGTTGGAATGAAACTGCAATGATGGAATAGTTCGATGGACCACCTGGTCAAATATTTTTGTTTTGGCACACGTACATGTAATATATCAATTAAGTAATTTATTGGGGATCGGCGGCCAGGTGACAGTAACATATTCCACTCTCAGTACTGATAGGATGTTATACATGTTCAGGGCCTAATAGGATGTTATACATGCATGGTCGGGGCCTTGAGGATGGTTTTGCTTGCGCGTGCATATATTTACAAGAAAGAAACTCGATCATTGCTAACATGTGGCATATTCATGTACAAATTGACCAACATCAATGACAGCAATGGCCTTACTTCACGAGTGCTACCCGTAACTCAGTCGCTAAATGCTGTCAATACAAAATAGATCAGTTTAAGTTTCACGAGGCTATTATTGCATTGCTGATAGCTAACATCGATCAATAATTACGTAATTTCAGTATTCAAATTATGTGTTCTAACTATCCGAAATGTGGGTAAGCAGGGTTCAAGCTATCACCCAATTATCTGCCTAATCGAACTGACCGAAGGTTTACTGTGTATAATTGTGTTGGATTAGCAAGGATGTCGGAATAGTCACAGGTCGAATCTATCAAAATACCAAGAGCAGACAAAAACTTTAAATGAGTTTGAGGATGGCTTAGAGAAATGGTGTTAAAACGATGATTAACGTATAATATATAATGATAAAAAGGGTCAATAACAGAGTGCCGGCTTTCCTTATAATGGGTATCCCTTAATTACCTGTAGGCTATTGTTATTGGGTTTACCTGTGTTGTTGTTATAAGGTTTACCTGTGTATTGTTTTACCTGTAGGCTATTGTTATAAGGTTTACATGTGTATTGTTTTACCTGTATGCTGTTGTTATAAGGTGTACCTGTAAATGTTTTACCTGTAGGCTGTTGTTATAAGGTTTACCTGTGTCATGTTTTACCTGAAGGCTGTTGTTATAAGGTTTACTTGTGTATTGTTTTAACTGAAGGCTGTTGTTATAAGGTTTACCTGTGAATTGTTTTACCTGTAGCTAGGCTGTTGTTATAAGGTTAACCTGAGTTTTGTTTTACCTGTATGCTGTTGTTATAAGGTTTACCTGTAAATGTTTTACCTGTAGGCTGTTGTTATAAGGTTTACCTGTGCAATGTTTTACCTGTAGGCTGTTGTTATAAGGTTTACCTGTGTATTGTTTTACCTGAAGGCTGTTGTTATAAGGTTTACACGAGTTTTGTTTTACCTGTGTGCTGTTGTTATAAGGTTTACCTGTAAATGTTTTACCTGTAGGCTGTTGTTATAAGGTTTACCTGTGCAATGTTTTACCTGTAGGCTGTTGCTATAAGGTTTACCTGTGTATTGTTTTACCTGAAGGCTGTTGTTATAAGGTTTACACGTGTTTTGTTTTACCTGTATGCTGTTGTTATAAGGTTTACCTGTAAATGTTTTACCTGTAGGCTGTTGTTATAAGGTTTACCTGTGCAATGTTTTACCTGTAGGCTGTTGTTATAAGGTTTACCTGTGTATTGTTTTACCTGAAGGCTGTTGTTATAAGGTTTACCATTGTATTGTTTTACCTGTAGGCTGTTGTTATAAGGTTTACCTGTGTATTATTTTACCTAAAGACTGTTGTTAAAAGGTTTACCTGTGTATTGTTTTACCGGTAGGCTGTTGTTATAAGGTTTACCTGTGTATTGTTTTACCTGTAGACTGTTGTTATAAGGTTTACCTGTGTATTGTTTTACCTGCAGGCTATCGTGGTTGTCAAGTACCTCTTCCAGTTTGGATTTTTTACATGGAATGATGGTCTTCCACCATCTTCTCCTTTCTGGCCGCCTCGAATTATTGGGATTGAGAAGAAAGATGGATATGCTTATGCTGATCTGGTGCTTCTGCTGGCTCTGTTCATACACCGGACGATCCTCAAGGTAAGTGTTTAACAGTTCTGTTGTCTTGTGATATTATAATCTCAGCAATTCTTGCCATTTTAAGTCATTTTAGCTCACATGATTGCTCATGTGAGCTATAAATTGCCATCCGTCATCCTCCATTGTCAAGTACCTTCAATTAAAATTGCATATTTTCAACTTCTGCTTCAGAACCACTTGTGTAATTGACTTAAAACTTAGTACAAATATTCCTTATGATTTCCTGACCAAGTGTTGTTATTTTTCGTGCCAATCCAAAAATCTAAGATGGTCATCTGGTATCTGATTGGCTGAGACATTTTTGACTTCTTCTAAAGAATGGCTGCACCAATTGATTCCTAACTTAGTATAATTGATCCCTATGAGGTCGTGATGTGAGTGCTTGGGCACTTTAGGCCTCTTGTTGATATTTAGTACAAAATTTTGACAGAATCATTTTGGGATTCGCTGGGTGCTAAGTCACAGGTGGCAAACAAGTCTGGTTACCGTAATGTTTGAAGTGAACATAAAAATATGGCTTGATAATTGATATGATTCCCAGAATACTGACAGGCAACACCGACAAAACACATACCAGTATGTCTACAACAAGTGTGTGGTATATATAGTGGCTGTTAGGTATTGTGAATGGCTGATTTGGGTGTATCAATATACTGTTGGAAACTCGACTTTGTAGCGCTACGGTCTATGGAAGGATGCTGAAGACATAGATGCAGACTTGAAGGAGATAGAAAAGGTTATCAGTCGACCAAACTCTCCACTGCCGGAGGTAAATATCTGTCAATCTGACATCAAATGGTTTTGAAATGAATAACTTTAACATTTGGTGGTAAAGCTTTTTTTTTCATTTTCTTTTAGATCATATATTTAGTTGAAATTTTGTGGGGTTTTATACAATTTTCATAACCCAGCTTTGAATGAAGTGGAAATCTATGATAATATTTGCCTGTTTGCCTAGTGTTTGTATCCCAGTTTTCAAGGCGTATCTCGGCATTAAAAGCCATATTCTATACTGTATCAAATAAAAATATGGAGTGCAGTGGGTGAACATGTAGCACTCACTTAGAGTAATTTTGATACATTGCCTCCGCTAGGTGTGTAGTACAAAGGCCTTGGATTTACAAAATTTGGGTGTTACAATGTTTCATGTTGCCAGGACGATGCTGACGTTACCCCTTGGACCGAGTCCACAGCGTCCACCAGTCTGCAGGTGACCTCAATAGAGGAGTCCGGACCGGATGACCTTGACAGAGGGAAGAAGAAGTCCAAGAGGTGGGTCACCGCCTTAAATAGATCCACAGTAGCCCACGTTCTCTGTTCAGCTTCCCTATTTATTTAAAGCCATATCAGCTTATAACAGGATGCAAATGTAAATTTTTGAGAACTTCGTAAAAAAACCCAAAAAAACTTTGAGGTTTTGTTTTTCATAAGATAGTAATTTTGAATCCTATACATCTAGTTAAGTTTGAATTTCTATCTTTTTGAAAACAACTTTGTTCAAATTTTTTCATTAAGTTGATGTTAAGCTGATTACACTTTGTAAAAATAGGCCCTGATGATGATACTGTTTGTAACTGTATATGAAAATAGAATACTATTATTAATTGTCATTATAGAATATTCAATTAAGATCTGTTCAAACTAATAAAGTTCATAAGAAAAATTGATTTCCAAATGGGAAATGGACATGATAAGGGATATAATAAGGGATTTATTGGGATTGTATTAAGAGACCACCTTCAGGAAGTTCATTAATTGGTCTCTTATTACTGTAAAAACTCGTGTAATTTGCGCACTTTTTTTTTGAGAAAATTAATGCCCAAAGTGGTGGTTGCGCAGAATACATAAGCGTTAGCAATTTCAAGGGTTTTTTTCATGAAAAGATAGACGATTCTGGCAGACCGCCATCTTGGACACGAGATAATCTCCCTTGATACATGTACACGGAACTCAAAGACAAACGACGATCAACACATTTACTTATGTCAAACATCAATAAAAGATAAAATTGATACATTCTGTGTTGTTACCTGAGTTTATGGAAAAGCATTATTAAATAGGTAACTAACTGTTAACAAAGAAAGTTTAGCAAATTCCTATGCAAGAGAATCGCCGATCAACTATTACGAAAATGTAGTTGTTCAATTTTAAGCTCCGCTCCATGTAAGTTCTGATTTTTTTCTCAAATCGGGTCACCATAAAATATCGCCAAATTGAACTGTGACATGACCTGGTTTGAAGTGACGATACCCAAGCCGCCATGATGAGCCCTTCTCACTGATCGTAATTATGATCAATAGAAGGTAGCTAAGTATGTCTTTCACCAGGATATATGCACCAGTGGTTACTAAACATCAAATTACTTAATAGTTGATATGTTTTTGTAAGCAAGTAAATGTTTTATGAAAAAAATATTGCTAAAATGAATTGATGTATGCCGATATGCGCACACGTGTGTGTCATGTGTGATCAGATATTTCAAAGGAAACAAACAACAAAATACACATTTTACGCAGTTTCGTCTTAGTTTTAACATCATTGTAACTGCAAACAATACTTATGAACTCACTTATAATAAACAAATTATACAAATCCTAAGAATCCAAAGCGCTTTGTCTTTCATTTTCAGAGATCGATTTTCGTAAATGTTTGGTTCGCAAAATATTTGAAAGCTTTTTTTTGGATTTTCAGCCTCAAAAAGTACCTGCGCAAATTTCATAGGTGCGCAAATTGCACGAGTTTTTACGGTACATGTGATCTTGAAATACAGAAAATATATAATGTGGAGTTATAGGAGTGGTCACTTAACACAGGTGGTCCTTTAACACAGGTGGTCCCTTAACACCAGTGGTCTCTTAATAAGGTGGTCTCTTAACATGTGTGGTCTCTTAACACCGGTGGTCTCTTAATAAGGTGGTCTCTTAATAATGTGGTCTCTTAACACTAGTGATCTCTTAATAAGGTAGTCTCTTAACATGTGTGGTCTCTTAATAAGGTGGTCTCTTAACATGTGTGGTCTCTTAATAAGGTGGTCCCTTAACACAGGTGGTCCCTTAACATGTGTGGTCTCTTAACACATGTGGTCTCTTAACACATGTGGTCTCTCAACATAGGTGGTCTCTTACTGCAGGTGGTCTCTTAACATGTGTGGTCTCTTAACACCGGTGGTCTCTTAATAAGGTGGTCCCTTAACACAGGTGGTCCCTTAACATATGTGGTCTCTTAACACATGTGGTCTCTTAATGCAGGTGGTCTCTTTACACAGTTGGTCTCATATTAAGGTGGTCTCTTAACACAGGTGTTCCCTTAACATGTGTGGTCTCTTAACACCGGTGGTCTCTTAACATGTGTGGTCTCTTAACACCGGTGGTCTCTTAATAAGGTGGTCCCTTAACACAGGTGGTCCCTTAACATATGTGGTCTCTTAACACATGTGGTCTCTTAATGCAGGTGGTCTCTTTACACAGTTGGTCTCATATTAAGGTGGTCTCTTAACACAGGTGTTCCCTTAACATGTGTGGTCTCTTAACACCGGTGGTCTCTTAACATGTGTGGTCTCTTAACACCGGTGGTCTCTTAATAAGGTGGTCTCTTAATAATGTGGTCTCTTAACACTAGTGATCTCTTAATAAGGTAGTCTCTTAACATGTGTGGTTTCTTAATAAGGTGGTCTCTTAACATGTGTGGTCTCTTAATAAGGTGGTCCCTTAACACAGGTGGTCCCTTAACATATGTGGTCTCTTAACACCCGTGGTCTCTTAACATGTGTGGTCTCTTAACACCGGTGGTCTCTTAATAAGGTGGTCCCTTAACACAGGTGGTCCCTTAACATGTGTGGTCTCTTAACATGTGTGGTCTGTTAACATAGGTGGTCTCTTAACGCAGGTGGTCTCTTAACGCAGGTGGTCTCTTAACACAGGTGGTCTCTTAACATGTGTGATCTCTTAACACAGGTAGTCTCTTAACATGTGTGGTCTCTTAACACAGGTGGTCTCTTAATAAGGTGGTCTCTTAACACAGGTGGTCTCTTAACACAAGTTGTCTCTTAATAAGGTGGTCCCTTAACACAGGTGCACTCTTAATACTGTGGTCTATTAACACAGGTGCACTTTTAACACAGGTGGTCTCTTAACACAGGTGCTCTCTACATACAAGCTTTGTCTTAATATGGACTGGTCTCCCAACATGGGTGGTATCTTTAACACAGGTGGTCTATGTACACAGGTGATCTCTTGACTCAAGTGATCTCTTAATGTAGGTGGAATCTCTAGTAGACAGCATTTTCAGGAGAATATATATGAAAAACAAATCTGCAAATATCTGAAGAATGAATGTATAAATGTATGTAAAAGAATGAAAATCTCATATAAAAGTTTTCCTATCAAAAGCAATTTTGAGAGTTTATCTTCACAGGAAGAAGAAATATTTCCAGCCTTTCACAGATTTCTACAAACAGTTGACTAACCCAGACTACAACGCCACAACTGATGTGTACGCTTCCATGTTTTTCTGTGATTTCATCAACTTCCTGATTGTGTTGTTTGGTTACCAGGCATTCGGACCAGCGGTAAGTGTCCACAACATTGTGATATGTTCCAACAATAAACAGTTATGGGAATCCACTTAGGCTATACTGGTTATTCTGTAAATAGAAAACCATTTCTTAATATTTTTTTTGAAAATTTACTTTTTATATGTTTTGTATTCACTAGTTACTATTTAATTTTACATATTCAGAGGGCAAGTTCAATCATCAACTATATATAGTAACTATGGTCTAACTAGAGTACAACCAGTCTCTATTTAGTACTGTGTAGTGTGCCTGTCTGGATGACTATGGTACAACTCACCAAACTCCCTTGGTTGAACTATAGCAACTTGTGGTCGTCAGTGCTCCTATGTGATTATTTGAAAGCAAGGCAGTGATTGGTTGTTGTTTACTAGAATGTGTAAGCACATTAGGTGTAACAGCCCGACTGTGGTAAACGGCTGATGATCAAACTCGCCCAGTACCTATAGCACCCATCATTTGATCTGAATAAGAGATTTTAATCTAGTTACCTCCCTAGACGGATCGTGTCTGCCATACATACGGAATGATGGTGCCACTGTGTTAAGTCAAAGGATGCTGGCTATCTCCTAATAATACACTAGGGTAAATGGGATGATGTTGAGGGTATATAGCAGTGTATAACAGTACTATGTGTGCTCTTTTATTGCAGCAATCTGGAGGAGGAGGTGACGTAACATCGTATCTCCGTGACGACAGGGTAAGGCTGTCTACAGTGTTTATTTGGAATCATCAGGGTACAGTCTGGTTGGTTGACCAGCCACTTCCCTTCTTAGCTCATGTGCTTACACTGTGGAATAGGGCCCTGGATTACAGCAATTTTGTTTTAAATGCTTTCCCTGAAATTTTACTGGATATTGGAACAACTGTATTAGTTGAATCTACAAGATTGATTGTATTTCTTTGAAGATTAAGGTTATACAATAATTGATCAGTAAGATTAATATCAAGAAGGTCTTGATCAGAAGATCAACATTTATTGGGGCATTGAAACATTTAAAAAACAATATATAATGTACATTGCTTTCAGTAGTGATGACAAAATGACTACATGTCCCTGTGTGATAAATAATTGATATTAATATGTTCAGGTCCCTGTGTGATAAATAATTAGTATTAATATTTTCAGGTCCCTGTGTGATAAATAATTTATATTTTCAGGTCCCTGTGTGATAAATAATTTATATTTTCAGGTCCCTGTGACTTTCCTCTTCATGTTAGTCACCCAGTTCATCCTTATCATCATTGATCGTGCGCTCTACCTCAGGAAAAATGTGATGGGAAAGTTCATCTTCCAGATCTTCTTGGTGGCCATGATCCACATTTGGCTGTTCTTCATCCTTCCGTCTGTCACAGAGAGGTGCGGCTATGTACAATATATCCTCAATAGTTTTAAGGAAGAGGTTTAATTTCTAGAAATGTTATTGTAAAACCATCATTTTACAAAAATGATAGGAGTATGCATTCCAAAGAAACATCAATTCATTTTCGGAAAAAAATAAAGAGAGACCAAGAACACTTTAAGTGGTTATTGGAAAAAAGTGGACTTCGCTGGTCTGTCTTATTAATTTAATATGACAGAGAAACATTTGAAGTTATGCCTAATTAAACAAACCCCCATAACGACAAGTTGTGGTAACATGACTTCACCAGTTTGGTGTTGTATCTTTTGCCGAAGGGCAAGTGAGCTTATGCCGTACCGCGGCGTCCGGCGTCAACTTTTCCCTTTAAAAGCCTTTATCTCCTGAACGACTGATTGGATTTTAACTAAATTTGATATGAAGCATCCTTGGGACCAGGGGCTCAATGGATTTATGAAATAAGTGTGGCCCCCTAGGGGGTTTAGTTAGGGTCAAAAAGGGGAAAATTTAGAAAAAAAAATAAAAAATCCTCTTCTCCATTTCCCGAAGTGCTAAAAACCAAATACTACTCATAGTTGTAAAGGCCTTTGGGTGGTTTATAAAAATGGTGATTTACATGTCTCCTAGCCACCCTAGATATAGGAAATAAACATAATAGGCCATATCTTCCATTGTTTTGAACGGAAGTTGTTCATATTTGAGAGAAATACTTGTTAGAGGGAGGGGGTCTGCAGGTGAAATCTTTATGAGCCTGACCCCCTAGGGGGCTGAGTTAGGGGCCGAAAAGGGGGAGGGGAAATCTCAAAAATCTTGTTCTTTAGTTATAAAAATGCTAGGATCAAATACTTCCCATAGTGGTAATGGCATTTGGGTGGTTTATAAAATTTGTGATTTTTAGCTCGCCTGGCCCGAAGAGCCAAGTGAGCTTATGGCATGGTGCGGCGTCCGTCATCCGTCCTTCGTCCGTCGTCAACATTTTACTTTAAACAACTTCTTCTCAGTAACCAAAAGGCCTTGGGTGATGATATTTGGCCAGAAGCATGCTGGGATGAAGGGCTACCAAGTTTGTTCAGATAAATGACCTTCATCCATTTTCAAGGTCACAGGGGTCAAATATGTTAAATTCTTTAAACAACTTCTTCTGAATAACCAAAAGGCATAGGGTGATGATATTTGGCCAGAAGCATGCTGGGATAAGGGGCTTCCAAGTTTGTTCAAATAAATGACCTTCATCTATTTTTAAGGTCACAGGTGTCAAATATGTTAAATTCTTTGAACAACTTCTTCTGAATAACCAAGAGGCATAGGGTAATGATATTTGGCCAGTAACATGCTGGGATGAAGGGCTACCAATTTTGTTCAAATAAATGACCTTGATTTATATTCAAGGTCACATGCGTCAAATATGTTTAAAACATTTAAACAACTTCTTCTGAATAACCAATAGGCCTAAGGTGCTTAAATTTGGCCAGTAACATGCCGGGATGAAGGGCTACCAAGTTTGTTTAAATAAATGACCTTGATTTATATTCAAGGTCACAGGGGTCAAATATGTTTAAAACCTTTAAACAATTTCTTCTGAATAACTAAGAGGCCTTGGGTGCCTAAATTTGACCAGTAACATGCTGGGATAAAGGGCTACCAAGTTTGTTTAAATAAATGACCTTGACTTATATTCAAGGTCACAGGGCCAAATATGTTCAAAACATTTAAACAACTTAAGCTTCTGCTGAATAACCAAGATGCCTAAGGTGATGATATTTAGCCAGTAGCATGCTGGGATGAAGGGCTACCAAGTTTGTTCAAATAAATGACCTTCATCCATTTTCAAGGTCACAGGAGTCAAATATGTTTAAAACCTTTAAACAACTTCTTCTCGATAACCAAAAGGCCCAGGGTACTGATATTTGGACTGTAGCAATCAGGGCTACCAAGTTTGTTCAAATGAATGACCTTGACCCACTTTCAACCTGATGTCATTGTTTGACATTCAAGGTCACACTGATATTCTGCCTGTAGCTTTAAGATTACAAGTGTGAGATTAATACCAGGTTAGCGATGCAGGCCCATTGGGCTTCTTGTTATGTCTCCCAGGGCCCCCATTTGCCCCTGAGGAGGGGGTAAAATTTAGTATAGTTTATATAGGAAATAGGCATGACGGGCCATATCTTCTATTGTTTTGAAAATAATTTGTTCATATTTGAGAGAAATACTTTTTAGGGGAGGAGGGTCTGCTGGTATAAATCGTGTGAGCCTGGCCCCCTAGGGGGCTGAGTTAGGGGTTGAAAAAGGGGAGAAATTTGGGAAAATTTCAAAAATCTTCTTCTCTAGTTACAAAAATGCCAGGATCAAATACTACCCATAGCTGTAAAAGTGTTTGGGTGGTTTATGAAAATTGTGATTTTCATGTCTAACAGGCCCCCCGTTTGCCCCTGGTGAGGGGGTGAAATTTAGTATAGTTTATATAGGAAATATACATAATAGGCCATATCTTCCAATGTTTTGAATGGAGTTTGCTCATTTTTGACAAAAATACTTGTTAGGGGAGGAAGGTCTGCGGGTATAATGGGCTGGGTTTGGGGTGAAAAAGGAGGCCAATTTCAAAAATCTTCTTCTGCAGTTCCAGAAATGCTGGTATCAAATACTACTAATAGTTGTAAAGGCCTTCGAGTGGTTTATATACTTTGTGATTTTCATGTGCCCCAGGTCCCTCGTTTGCCTTTGGGGAGGGGGTAAAGTTTGGTATCGTTTATATAGACAATTCGACAAATGAACAGCCATCACATACTACTTTTTATCTGGAACCCAACTAATGTGCTAGTAATAGTAACAACCTTAATTCTTTATGAATTATAAAGTCTCCATAGTAACGCTTCCAAGTCTTACCCTACATGTCTGAAGTGGTTACAAATTGGCATTACAGTAGAGCAAATGTAAATATTGTGCCAGGATTGCTTAAATAACCAGGTGAGTGATACAGGCCCCCTGGGCCTCTAGTAAAATGTGCCTCGGATGAAAAAAAATTGATCAGGGATGATGTAGGTAGCTCAGTGATTTTTTTTATTTTCAAAACTATCCATGTTTAGTATTTCAGGCAGTTTACAGACAATATACCTGCCCAGCTGTGGTACTTTATGAAGTGTATTTACTTTTCTAGGAAGTTTACAGAGAATATCCCTGCCCAGCTGTGGTACTTTATGAAGTGTAGCTTCTTTTTCAGGAAGTTTTCGGAGAATACCCCTGCCCAGCTGTGGTACTTTATGAAGAGTAGCTTCTTTTTTCAGAAAGTTTTCAGAGAATACCCCTGCCCAGCTGTGGTACTTTATGAAGTGTAGCTTCTTTTTTCAGGAAGTTTTCGGAGAATACTCCTGCCCAGCTGTGGTACTTTATGAAGTGTATTTTCTTTTCTAGGAAGTTTACAGAGAATATCCCTGCTCAGCTGTGGTACTTTATGAAGTGTATTTACTTTTCCAGGAAGTTTACAGAGAATTCCCCTGCCCAGCTGTGGTACTTTATGAAGTGTAGCTTCTTTTTTCAGGAAGATTTCGGAGAATATCCCTGCCCAGCTGTGGTACTTTATGAAGTGTAGCTTCTTTTTTCAGAAAGTTTTCAGAGAATACCCCTGCCCAGCTGTGGTACTTTATGAAGTGTATTTACTGTTCCAGGAAGTTTACAGAGAATATCCCTGCCCAGCTGTGGTACTTTATGAAGTGTAGCTTCTTTTTTCAGGAAGTTTTCGGAGAATACCCCTGCCCAGCTGTGGTACTTTATGAAGTGTATTTACTTCGGCTTGTCTGCGTACCAGATCAGGTCTAGCTATCCAACACGTATCCTTGGAAACTTCCTCACCAAGAAGTACAACTACCTCAACCTCTTCCTCTTCAAAGGGTGAGTGTTGCTCTTTTGGCAGAGAACATGTTTTTATCTAGAAGACATTTGGACCTTAAAATGTTATGGTACTTGTTTGTATAGCAAAGGCTCCTTGTTATATTGGTATAATCTATATAGATTACTAGCTGTACAGGTTTGTATACAAAAAGTATCGTTTTATACTTTTTGTTTAGAAAATGTTCCTTGCTTCATTTGTGTGTAATATATCCCTTGCTATACTTATTTGTCTGTAATGTATCCCTTGCTATACTTATCTGTCTATAATATATCCCTTGCTATACTTATTTGTCTGTAATATATCCCTTGCTATACTTATTTGTCTGTAATATATCCCATGCTACACTTACTTGTCTGTAATATATCCCTTGCTATACTTATTTGTCTTGGAATAGATTCCTTGCCATACCGTTCCTGCTGGAGCTGCGCGTGTTGATGGACTGGATCTGGACAGACACGACAATGGCTATTGGCAGCTGGCTTCAAATGGAGGATATATATGCCAACATTTATGTCCTAAAATGCTGGAGAGAGTCAGAAAGGGTAGGCGTCCCCAAAAAAGTGATACAGGATTATATATCTTGGGGTGTAAAGATGGTTCAGGTTTACATCCCATGAGTGTAGAGGTGATACAGAATTATGTTCCCTGAGAGTAAAGGTGATACAAAACTATGTTCCCTGAGTGTAGAGGTGATACAGAATTATGTTCCCTGAGTGTAAAGGTGATACAGAATAATGTCCCCTGAGTGTAAAGGTGATACAGAATTATGTCCCCTGAGTGTAAAGGTGTTTTGTCAAAGGTCAAGATCACTGTTACTTTAAATAAAATTGTCCAGAATATAACTTAAAGGTGATACCAACATTTTACAAACACAAACCCGTCCTAAAGGAATTCATTCTTGTATTCAGCAAGTGCTGCACAGGGTTTCCTCGAGAATTTGCTGACCCTTGTTGGCTCTCGTTCTTTATTTCCAAAACAAGGAACAGATCTTATTTTCCCTTGTAAAGAAATCATTTGTTCAAAATTTTGGAATTTATAAAACTATATGCTAATGTATTGTTAAATATAAAGTTTTTAATTCAATTTGATGATATTTGTTTTGTTCTGGCTTTTTCTTATAATGTGCCAATGTTGACTCTCTGGTTACAGAAATACCCGACGCCGCGTGGTGAGAAGAAGCGGTCACTAGTGAAGTATGGAATGGGAGGTTCACTACTGATATTGGTCATCTTTATCATTTGGTTTCCACTGGTGATTTTCTCTCTGGCCAACACCGTGTATGTACCTAATCCCCCCATCGACTGCACCGTTACCATAGCAATCGGAGGATTCCAGGTAAAATATTGATAAATATGAAATGTTTGCTTGTATTACTGAAAGGGGTCTATTTTTAGCTCACCTGGCCCAAAGGGCCAAGTGAGCTTATGGCATGGTGCGGCATTCGCCGTCTGGCCCGCGTCAACTTTTTACTTTAAACAACTTCTTCTCAGTAACCAAAAGGCCTAGGGTGATGATATTTGGCCAGAAGCATGCTGGGATAAAGGGCTTCCAAGTTTGTTCAAATAAATGACCTTCATCTGTTTTCAAGGTCACAGGGGTCAAATATGTTTAAAACCTTTAAACAACTTCTTCTGAATAACCAAGAGGCCTAGGGTGATGATATTTAGCCAGTAACATGCTGGGATGAAGGGCTGCCAAGTTTGTTCAGATGAATGACCTTGAATCATATTCAAGGTCACTGGGGTCAAATATGTCAAAAACATTTAAAACAACTTCTTCTGAATAACCAAAATGCCCAGGGTAATGATATTTGGCCAGTAGCTAGCTGAGATGAAGGGCTACAAAGTTTGTTCAAATGAATGACCTTCACCCATATTCAAGGTCACAGGGGTCAAATATGTTAAAAACTTTAAACAACTTCTT